TTCGCTGTATTTTTGAGCCTCTTTGATCTTCCACTACAAGAAAAACAATAAATAGTGACCGAAAATTCGGTCACTAAATAACTAAAATCGGTCACTAATTAAAATAGTGACCGAAATAGTGACCAACTACAATCGGTCACTATTTCCTTGGTCACTGATCTTAGTGACCGAATCAGTGACCGATTCAGTGACCGATTCAGTGACCGAATCAGTGACCGAATCAGTGACTGATTTAGTGACCGATTCAGTGACCGATTCAGTGACTGATTCAGTGACCGAATCAGTGACCGATTCAGTGACCGAATCAGTGACCGATTCAATGACCGATTTAGTGACCGATTTAGTGACCGATTTAGTCACCGATTTAGTGACAAATTTAGTGACCGATTCGATAATCGAATGAATATATATGACCAAATTGGTCACTATATCGGTCACTAATTTTATTTTATTTTTTTATATTATTTTTAAAATAATGATAAACCCGATTAAGGAATATGAAATACATTATATATTATATTAAATATATGAAAATTTCACTATCTAAGATAACAATAAAAATAATACCACAAATTTTGTTCTAAATAAATTCATCATTCATGAATTAAATACTTTCTTACATATTGAAAATTTAATCTAAAAGTAAGTAGAATAAACTAAAATAAGAGTTATAATTCTAGAAATGTCGGAAACTAACAAAACAAATACAATATACAAAATAGAATCAGTTCACAATTCAGGAGGTTGAACATCCATCTTCTCCATCAAGAGAAGCAACATTTTATCATTTTTCTAAATTTGTCTCTCATTAGTTAACATCCTTTCACGGAGATCATCCCTTTCGGTCTCAACTTCCTGTAACTTGTGTTTTAATTGTTCAATCTCCTCTCTCATAAGCTGGACGAGATGATGAAGTAGAGTCGTGACAAAGATTTCTCCCAATTGCTTTGCTTGACTCAGATCCAAGCCCATATATTTTGCCTTTGTTTATTCCGAGCAACTTTACACCAAACTCGTAATTCATCGAGCGAAGAGCCTCCTGTAATAGATCCCGATTGGGAGGCTTCTTCCCATGCACGACTAAACTCGCCTATAAACATTAAAATAGAATAGTAGTGAATTGGATAAAAACATAAAAAAGGATACAATTGTTTAAGAAATTAACATAAGAAGAAAAACAAGGAACTTACATCCACATGTGCTGATCTTTGATCCACCCATGTGTTATCCTTTCGTTTGTGTGTTTTGCGAAATAACTCTGATGGGGTAGCGGGTTTTCCATTCAACTTTATCTAAAATATGGTTAAAAACACAAACTTAGAAGTGCAATATCCACCATAAAATAAAAGAAGTTTGTCAAGTCATGACAATAGGTAATGTAATAACTATTTAAGTCAAAATGCAAACACATAAAGACCCTTTAAATATGATAAATCCAAACTTTACTGCAAAAGACAATTACAGGACTTTAAGTTCAATACCAAGTTTTCTAATAAAGAGTAACTCCAATGTCCATTTAAGTCAATTGAAACAAAACCATCCACTGCTACATTTACATATTCAACACATACTAAATAGTAAAAGAAATGACCCCTAATTAATGTGTACATGTACATAATGAAATAAGACCAAATTGCAAAAAAACAAGTCTTTCAAAAAAATTAGAAATAGAACAGGTCCTTGATAAGAGCATTTTAATGCATGTTTAGTGATGTTAATCCCACTTATCTTGGGCTGATTTGTTGATCAATAGCATTGTTTTTTATTAAATTTTAATACTTAGGCATAATTAGGTTTAGTTGTGCATTTTAGTTAATTCGGATTTTTTTAAAGCTTTTTAACCTCTATGCACTAAATCAGTGATATCTGGAGCTGTGGTTTGAGTTTTTGAATAATTCTTTTTGGGTTAGAAAGATAACATTTATATATTCATATTCATATATATTTTGTAATTTTTGTATGTCAGATTTGGGCCCAGTTTGAATTTGAATCTAGTCATAGCCTACTGCCAGGAGTAACTTTTCGGTAATGACATGTGTTAATTGAAAAGACAATATCTCAAGGTACAGATCGAATTTGAGGGTGAGGCTTAGTGCGTTGGAAAGCGGATTCAAAAATCGTTAATTTGATATATAATTTGTCAAATTTGGATCAGTGGATTATTTTCTATGATTTTTATAAGTTAGGAATTTATTTCAGTATTACAAAACCATGAAAGCAACGTAACATATTGTGATTATTTGTGAAACCAAGAAATGAAGATAGAAAACATTTGCTTCAACCAAACAGATTCTCAAAAGTAAAACGAATAAACACTATTTTTAGCACCCAAAACCTACGTTAACATTCATTGACAATGATGAAAATAACTAAACTCATGAAGATGAAAACAAATTAACAAGTAACCTACACCACTGTTTGGTGCCTTTTCTTGGATAGTTGTGAATACTTTGACTGCAACAAATAAAAAAATGTTAGTCTTCAAAGAAATGGAAAATTTTATCTAAACTTTCTTAAAGTCATAATGGTTTACCCATTGAACCACCAAAATTCATAAAAGAAGTTAAGAAGCTGAGTTCCCCAGTACTTTTGTTCTGCTAAAATATAGTAAGTTATCAATGAATAATAAGGATGGTGAAACAAAGAGTCAACGTAGTTCATCAAATGAAAAAATTGTCGAAAAAAAAAACAACTATAAGGAATCTAGAAGCATAATATTAAAAAATAGAGAATAGTAGTAAATTATGGCAACCAATATTACAGCTGTATCAAATAATAGAGAGGATGAAGAGGTTAGATAACTTCAAAAAAATAAAGAACAACATAGCTTTATCCAACAAAAGATAAATCAGTACAACCTGCATGATATAGAGTCTATGATACCTTTGCAAGTACAATTTCTTTGACATTTTTCACATATGCAAACTGGTCAAGAGCAGTTCTTATCACAGATTCAGTTACCTGTGGTGACAGGTTGTCAAAGTACACTGTCCTACTAACTTTCTGTTAAAATGCAGAATACTCTTCTGCTGACGATTCCATGCAACAAGGTGAATAAAGCTTAGGAACACAGAATTTCAAACTTACGGTAACTAAATGGGTGTACAATAGAGAACACATGAAGAGAATGGTTTCTTTTTTATCCCATTACCAAGCAAGTTACCACAAAGCAGTAGGCTCAAAGTTTTTCAACAGATAATTAGATAAATTAATTAACCATTTTGATAGCATAGAAAAGAATATTTTCTCTAAAATGTAAAAGTCAAACAATATCATATACTTTGGCACATTAAGAGCACCAGATAAAATCATTTTCTTCAAAATCATGAGCTAATATAGAATTAAATTAATCATACAAAACTTATACAAATGACATTTATTTAAATAACATCTGTATTGCAATTTGAGGGAGAGTAAGGATGCAAAATTTTTATATAATATTATAATCTGGTTAAATGTTCAATAAAGAAGCTCATTATTACATATGCTCTATTTTCTAGCATGTGCTACAGATTAAACATCACTTGCTTACAGATTAAATTGCAAAATTAAAAATATCTACATTTACAATCATAACCCAGACTAGTATTTTCTTTTCTTACTGGCCCCGCATCACAAAATGAGGGTAAATAACATATTTTTGGAACTAACATGATTGTTTTGTTTAATCCCAGGTCCAGCTTATAACCACATGGACAGAGTTGGAGTTGTGACATCAATCATAACACGTAACTGAGTTGGATTGGAACTGGACAGAGATAGGCTCATGAAGGAAACAAGTGATCTATTTAGAGTTCATTTAAAGTTCCTCACTTCAGTAAGATTGTACCCAAACAAATTATAAACAGACTCGTAAACCTACAATCAGTAGATGACTAGGCAAACTGGATGGAGGGCAATTTAAAGTTCCTCACTTCAGTAACATTGTGTCTCAACTTTTCATATTCACGCAATCAAATAATCATTTCAACAGGAATCAAGAACACACAAGTAACCATAAATTTATAAAGTCTACACATTAAAGTCATTTTGTAAGAATGAACTACAAAAACGGAATTCATTATTATAGTTATACTGAACAAGACAAGTTACTAGATAACATTCATAAAGCCTTGTTATTTAAGGGATGATGATAATATTTCTAAAGGTGGCAGAGAAATCTTGAGTTATCAACTATTAGTTTTAGTTAACATATAACTGTAATCATAATTATAATCTAAGTTGTTGCATGGTAGTGTTTCTAATCCCCTAAATCAATATCATTATGCCAGAAAATATCCAGTTGTTTAATCATTAACATGTTTCACCCTTTTTACCTTATAACTACCCCAAAGTGCATCACATTTATGAAAGTTGAAATACAGCACACATGTACCATACTCGATTCACCACTGCATTTACAAAAAAGCAGAAACAAAGAACCAATTTACCATGCTTGGCTCTATTCAATCTGATACAAAAGAAAGTGAAATAAAACATTAACAACAACCGTTGAATGCAGAATTAAAGAACAAAGCTTTGAATGTGATAATTCTTCAACATACTACTACCACAAAGTAAGACAAAAAAAGTATGCAGACCTAAACTCATCCACATGCAGAAGTTATTGGCCAATGTGTGATTTGTATGTTTTAAAGAGTTGGTTGAAGGATAAAAAAATACTTGGGTCTTGCAGACATTGTAAGGAAGTTATTTGGTGTGTAGAATTTTGTAAGTGTACCAAACAGGATATTCACTTGATTAAAGAAATCAACAACTGCACATAAAAACAATAATATATAACAATGTGCAAAATTTCTTAATTTTGTAATCACCAATGACTAAAACTTACCACGCTATGCATAAATAAAACACCAAGCATTGTCAATAGTATAGAAAAGGTTAAGAAAATAAGTCTCGAGAATATGGAAGAGAAACAAGGAAGGGAAGAGCACAATTTATAGTTGGAAACTAGAGAACTATTTGCCAAAAGCTAAATATTAAAGATTCTTACGGTTTACAGCTACCCACTCATTAATATCTTCACCAGGAGGCAATTTAACATCTTCCCTCAAGTTCCCACTACCCAATGTGGCATCTATGTGTTTTTCAAGTTGAACACCCTGCATTTTATAATTAAAATCCATAGAAGGCTCAATTGGCTGAATATAAACCATAAAGAACAAAGTGGAAAAGAATCCATTAACCATTCCACGAGTGAAAGTACCAACCTTACTTCCTGATGGGGCACTCTTTTTTGGACAAAATGTCTTTTGGTTTCTGTATGGATCAAAGTTGATTACATGAGTAGTCATAGACAGAAACAAAACAAAATTATACTAGAAGAAATGAAAGAGAGATTAATCAAAACAAACAATCATTTTACTTGAAGATAAATTTGCAGTTGCAGGGACAAAATTGCAGATTAGAGTAACTTGGATAATAATTGTTTCAACAAATTATCTATGCCTAATAAATACATAGCGATTTGAATTTCGTGAATGTTTTGAAACAATTACTTTTCAAGGCAGATTTGAGGTCATCAGGTTAGGGTTCTAGTATGAGATTTCCTGAGTTTTGCTTGGAACTGAGGTCGCCGGAGTTAGGTTCACCGAGGCTGGGGTTGAGGTTCGAAGTCGCTTGGGTTGGATTTCAAGTCATCGGAGTTGGGTTTCAGGCGATGCCATCGGAGTTGGGTTTCAGGCGATGCCATCGGAGTTGGGTTTGGGCCTCGAGTTTGTCGACGTTGAGGTTGGGGTTGAGGTTCAAAGTCGCTTGGGTTGGATTTCAAGTCATCGGAGGTGGGTTTCAGGTTGTCGTGTTGGGTTTCAGGCTAAAAATCACTAAAGGCTGGAGGATTGGGGATGGAGAGATGAAGCCCTAGGTCAGATTAACCTCGAACAAGAAGGGTGGGATTCAAAGCTTGGATCAGTGTAGTGAATGTCAGCGAGCGAAGAAGATGAAAATTTGGGAGCTACAAGGTCAGATCAAATTAGTGATTAATATGAGCGTGACATGAAAATTTGGGGCAGATTAGAATGAGCGCGAGATGAAAATTTGGGGCAAATTAGAATGAGCGCGAGATGAAAATTTGGGAGGGTATAATCAGTGAGGGAGTGAAATAATTAGATAATTAGATTAATTTAAAAAATTAAATTAAATTAAAGAGTGACTGAAATAGTAACTGATTTTTTGTAACCGAAAATTCAGTTACTATTTCAATTACTACACAAAAAATAATAATTTGGTTACTAATTCAGTCACTGATAGTAACTAAATTTTTCAGTCACTGATTTTGGTTACTATTTAGCATTTTTCTAGTAGTGTTCGCCTCTTGATGGACAACCAAGGCTTGTAGTTCGTCGAGTTTTGCAACGGCTCGGTCCTTTTCTTGTAGTACTTGGTCGTACTGAGCTAGCCCGTCTCTTTCTTTACAGCGTAGCTCAGTGAGACTTTTGTTGAGTCTCCGGTTGGCCTCTCGCTCTTGGCGTATGTCTGACCGAGTCTTGGGTGAGTTCTTGCAATAACTCCTTGATCGTCTGAGCCTGTTTTGCTGATTCGGCCTCAAGGTGTGTAGACTTGGCGGTTATATCTTTAATTTGGCTATCCTTGCTGGTTCTGGCAGTTTTGGATGCTCGGATAGCTTGCTCGTTAGAGTCAGCACACTGATCCTTGAGGCGCTCTATTTCATGATCCTTTTTCTTGCATTGCCTTTGCAGACCATCAATGGTGAGGATAGATTCTTGCTCTCTTTCTTCAAGGGCCCTTATCTGGGCTCCCATGATATCTATCCTTTGGGTCAAGGCATCGACTTGAGCCTACAACTCTTCACTATTGGCGCTTGTAGTGAGTGTGGTGGATGGTTGACACATCCCTCTTCTTTGTCTCCACACCTCGTAGTCACTGGAGACAGTCACTCGAGCTTTTCCTAGCTCTCTATCTCCCATATAGACTGGTCTCTCCCATGCTCTTCTCACGGCTAGTGAGTTGGCGATTGTGCATGGGTCTCCGAAGAAACACAGTCCTCCGAGTTCCCCCCGAGAGATGGTAGTTTGGGTTCTCATGAGCTGTCTCATAGCTACTCTAGGTGAGTAGGCTATGCAACCCCTGAGTCCTATCAAGGGTACGTTCGGATAGTCTCCACATTTGATGAGAACTGGGCCAGGTCGGAACCAAGAGCAGACCCAGGATATAATGTTGGCATCCTTTTGTTCCAACTCGTCCCTCCATTCTGAGGTTAAGCGTCGTTGGAGAGGGATTTTGGAGAAGCTCCTTAAAGGATCGGGGAATATCCCCATGTGACTGGAGGCGTAAAGGTGCGTAGCGCTCCACATGAATAGTAGTGAAGAGCAGCAACGAAGTGTTTTTCCTTGCTTCTGGCAGCAAAATTCCACCGAGAGCAAGGTGTCGGCAAGAATGGCAGGCAAGGGACTCTTCGAGTTCACGTCCCAGGCGAAGAAGGCGTCCACGACGGCTTGATCCACGGTGTCGAGGTGGAAGGGAAACAAGATAGTTCTGAAAATGATTAAAGCCAGGGTTTTGTTGAAGGCAACCCACTCTGTCCTTTCTGCCAAGTCGGACAGGTGGTCTTCTAACATCGAGACTTTCCAACCCTGGATGTTCCCTTTTCCTATCAGGGCAGTCTGCTGGAAGGGTAGTTGAATGATGGCAGCGACTTGTGCTGCAGGAGTATATGCCCCGTGGCGGATATGGACCCTAGCTGATTTGGGTCATTTCAACATCATCTCATACTCCTCCAAGGTAGGCACCATATCGAACTGCAGAAATTCAAAGCATCGCAAACTGGAGTTCCAAAAATGAATTAATACCCTGAGGAACACTTGATCGACACATATCTTTAGCAGGTCGAGAATCCGTCCATAGGATATTTCAAAGTCAGCGCGGACCTCTGGTGGCATTACCGCGCAAAGCCGTTCCAACTTCTCAGTATGATATCGGGGAATATCCACCTTCTTCAATTGTCTACTAGTCCCCTCCATTTTCTAAAACCAAAATGCATGTTTTATGAAAAATTATGCTTATTTGAATGAATGTGAGTGTTTATTTTCTGTTTATCATGTTTTGTATGGTATTTACGTATTTTTTCTGAAAAATAAACTACCTATATGAATGATTTGGGATGTTTATGAATCGGGCCCCATTTATGGTTTTGAAAACGTATTTTATTTAGTATTTTATTTTTATTTATTTGTTTATTTTATAGCCTCTTATCTCTTCTGTCGGAACTGCGTGGCTACTTAGCTTACAAAGAACCTAAAACCAGGCTAGCTAAAAGGCAGACTGTCCGAGATAAAATGTGGCTTTATGCGAAAAATTATTTAGCATCCCTTATCTCTTCTGTCGGAACTGCGTGGCTACTTAGCTTACAAAGAACCTGAAACCAGGCTAGCTAAAAGGCAAACTGTCCGAGATAAGGGTGTTTATTGCAAAACTATTTTTGTGATTTTTCTTTTGTTGTTTGGTTATGCTATGCAACAAACAAATGCAACAAACATATGCACACACAATTCGATCATCCACGAACAGGCGAGAATTCATTTTTATCACGAGGTAGGGTTTTCCTGCGGAAAAGTGATTTGGCGAAGGTAGGTTCTAACTGTTCTCACCAAGGCTAAGGCCCCCAAGGTGCCCCCATTATAGGCTCCCCACTCTCCAGCCTTCCGACCATGCTTAGCACTAAGGCCATAGTCAGTCTTTGTGCCAAAAGAGGAAGGTTATCACCTTGAGTGGTGGTTTCCGATCACACCGGTGGGCACAAGGCCATCACTACAACGAACCGTACCTGCCACCCACTCCCTATGGATTTCTCACTTGCCCCCGGGTATAGAGGGAACTGTTGTGTGCAAGGGTTTGTGTACAGTTTTTTATTTCACACAATTGCGTAAGTATAAACAAGCAACAGTTATTAAAGCCAAATAGTAAAACGTGTTATAATACAAGGTAGGGAAAAAGCGTTATTTTCTTGGTTTATTTATTTTTAAGATGGCCCATCACTAAATGGGATCAACTCTCTAGGCTTCTCCAGCGGAGTCGCCATCTATCGCCGCCGTCAAAACGAGGGCGGTCGGAGCGACGCGATGGTTTCCGACTCTCTTGATTTTCGCGTTTTTTATTGGTGGTTACAACGCCTTTAGGTTGTCCGATAACCGGGCTGAACCTAGGGGCGAGGTTTTCGAAAGGGTGCTCTTGGATTGTCCGATAACCGGGCTAATCCAAGAGCTAGTTTTTGAGGGTTCTCTGGAGTCGCCACCGATGTTTTTACCGGAAACATCGGAAAAGGAGTTTAAAAGGCATTGGTTTTCAAAAAACCAACTTTGGTCATTAGAACCAGAGTTGGGTAAGGGAGTTAGTTACGCGTAAAGGAAGTGTTAGTTCCTTTACGACGCCCCTTTCGGGTTCCCTATGATAGGCCATCTATTCTGTTGATAAATAAACTGGAAAAATACGATTTTGCCCTTTTATTTTGTGAAATTTTAAAGATTACGACTACATGGCCCTAATGTCTATTGCGTAATTTAAACAATGTGATAAAAGATAGAGAGAGAAAGTAGGAACCTCCGAAGCTAGCTTTCTATTAATTCTTTTAAAATAGGGTGCTTTGTGGCAGCCCTTCACTCTACACGGTGTCGGAAACCTCTCAAAACGCTCTAAAAGCACTCTAAAGACACTCAAAAGCTCCAGAAATGCATCGGAGGGATTCTAGAGAGAGAAACTATTGATGTGACTAGAGAGAGAGTGAGAAAGCTGTGAGAAATGAGGGGAAGGGAGGCCCTATTTATAGGGATTCGCGCCTGTCAGGTTGAGACGGCCGTCTCGTCTGACAAGTGGCGAGACCGCTGTCTCAAAATCGAGACCGCCGTCTCGCCTAGCGCAAGTGGCGAGACCGCCATCTCGCGAGACGGCGGTCTCGATTTTGAGATGGTGGTCTCGACCCTAAAAGGCGAAAATCCTTATTTTAGTGCCAAAAATCCCTCCTATCCAAGTATGGGGCCTAATAGTCTCTCCTAGTGGCTTCTTAGGCTTCGTCCATCTTCGAAAAGGAGGTCTTCTGATCTTTATTGTGAGATCGGGCAAGATTTGGGGTCTACAAGGATCTCTGTTTGTAAAAGTGCTCAAGAGATGTGGGAAATGTTGAGAGTGACCCACGAAGGAACCGACGATGTTAAGAGAGCAAGGAAAAAATCTTTAATCCAAGAATATGAGATGTTCCGGATGCAACAAGGCGAAACGATATTTGACGTTCAAAAGCGTTTCACACA